TTTGATAATGTAAATGTTCTTTGCTCTCTTTCTGTACAATGAAAGAGTTATGATTAGTAGCCTAACTTGCAATGCTTTTATTTACATTAACTTTCCATGTTAAATTCACATTAAATATAAACTCAGTCGTATTAAAAATATGTTATGGCATGACACCCATATCTGTTAATTAAGTAAACAGACAGGTCTTTATGCATAGTTAATGGGTTACATTATTAGGATACTTTGACCATCATAGATCAACATAATCTATAAAGGTGAGAATCAAGATATTTCATGATATAGTTAATGCGTTTGAGAATGTTTCGAATAAACAGGAAAAACGAAATGCCTCCTCAAAAATAATGAGTGCATGACGCCCCTGACAACAACCTTGAAATAAGAGCGCAAGGTTTATCTGTTAATCAGATGCCTGAAAGTAGAGTTCGTTGCTATAGCAAACAGATATGCGCGTTTTCTTTCAGAATCATCATTCGCGATGGAGAGGAAAAGTTAAATAGCCTACTATAGCATTTTATTTTATGAAAATGAGATAAAGAAGTTTTCGCACTGAAAGAGAAGTGATCTCGCGCTCAAAGAACTTAAGACGTGCCAGGAAATTGCCATGGACAAAGGTATCTATCGCTGCAGCTAAGCTGAATAAAAAGCCGAATGAACTGGTGAAACGATAAGACAATAAACACAATAAATAAATAAAATTTATGAATGGTGCAGTGCTAATTGACATATTTATTACAGTACAGAAACTATAAAGTATATTTTATAACTAATTCTGTGCAGAAAATTGAAACATTTGTTTGTTATATAAAACAATCATAAAATTGCCATTAGGAAAAAATATATAGATTACAAATGTTTGATTATTGTCCAGCAGTGTATTTGATTTCTTATAGCAAATTCAAAGTAAGAGATAATTCCTTGTAAAAAAAATAAATAAATAATATATACATACATTCATAAAATAATTTTATTGGACATTTCTGTCACTTCTGAAATGATGGCTACACCCCTGGTGTGAAAAAAATGTTAGCCTATACATAATACTTTTAAAGCTCTTTTTTTTAAATCTTGGCTTACATACATTTCTACATATGTCATGTCATGCATGCCATAGCATCATTAAACTAGCATCTAACAATGGACAAAAGTTTGTTTTTTTTTTGTTTTTTTTCTCTAACCTATGGTTCTCTAACCATAAAGGCTGCTGTGTAATTTGCCCCCTGACTAAGCATTTAAAGAATTTAGGGGAAGCATTTAAATAATCCTGTGAATGTACTTAAAGAACGCAGAATCGAATCGTTGATCGAATCGAATTGAATCGTTCTGAATTTGCAAAAATCATTCTTGAATCCAATCGAAAACCTATGAATAGTGAATCGAATCGATTCGCTGTCTACCCAAAGATTCACAGCCCTAGTTATAATGCCTTAAGAATACCCTTCTAATGCATAATAAAACAAAGGTTACATATAGAAGTTGTGTGTCTCAAAAATGTTTTCTAAATGCTACATAATAATACTGTGTTGCTCTCTAAGTATATATATTTAACCTACACCTGGATTTTTGTGTATTTGGGATTCACTTTAAGTATCACAGTTTTTATGTGTGTGTTACCTCTGGCTCCACCAGTCTTCTTTTCTGTGAAAAGTGAGGTGAAGACATCCTTCTCTTCACTGCATTCCTTCTTGCCTCTGTTTCAGACTTACTCTCTGGTCTGGGGTGGTCATGTACTCCTTTAGCCTTAAAACAGAGCAAATTGGGAATAGGGGAAATATCACGTTTATATTCATAACTATTTAAATATTTAACTACATAATTATACAAGTTCTGTTGTACAGTGACATCAATCTGTGCAATTAAAGCTGATGGTTTTCTAAAATATTTAATACTTGGTAAACTGTAAAAGGAATTGTTTACCTATGTCTACCTGATGTTTATTTCTACCTGCTCTGATTCTTCAAAAATTTACTTGGTGTAGTCTAAGTATTCAAGTTTATTCAGTAATATTAAATTATATTTTTGACTTTAGGCTCCAGCCCCCCATGTCCCTGTAAAGGATAAAGTGGTGTGGAAAGTGGATGGATGAATGGATTTTTGACTTTTGAATAAGTTAAAAGTAGATGCCATTCTTTGGTTATTTGACAAAACATTTCTACAATGCCATTTGCAAATCAAACAATTATCAGTTAAACTCACCTGGAAAAAAATTGCCTTCCCATCTACTCTCCAAAAATTGGTTACTGGATAGCCACTGTGACCTCGGCATGGAATCAGTTCGAGAGCTGAGTTACAGTTTGGACAAAGCTTTTCTGCAAAGGTACGAATAAAGTTTTATTCAAACTATTTAGTATGAATAAATTGTTTTTAATGAGCATTTTACAAATATGCCAACATTATGCGTATTTTATACATATACATTATACGTAATTAGATTTTTTAATGAAATTCTCATGTTTCAAGTCATTGCAAAAAAAGAGGTTAAGTGTTTTGACTGAGCCAAACAGTCAAGGTCATGAGTGAGAGGGTCTAAACTGACAGAAAATAGTCTGCCAGGGTCTGTCAGTCTATTGAACATTCTCACTGCAGAATCTAAGGTCGATTAACAGGAGTCACTGAGAAGACTACAATTTAGAAATAATTGTTCCCAAAAGAGTTCACAGCCTAATGCCACAAAAGTATATGTTTAAGTGCCAATGGGACAGTAGATATTTAGAAAACGTCTATCTACTGGTTCTTTGAAGAAAACAATTGGGTCGTTCTAGATATCGGATGACACCTAAAACGGACACGTTCTGATCTGAAAAATCTATAAAAATCCTGAACTCCAAGTATCCAACGCGAAAACGATATACAGGAAATAAAATTATTCTTGATAAGAATGCGATTCCTTGCTATTCATATATTTCAGACGTGTTTCAAACTACGCGCTACAACCAGCCTGTAGTGTAAAATATGTTTGTTCTTTCTTATCAGATTCGTTTCTAACACGACTAACTCGTTTGGTAGATGCTGGTTGTTTGGAGAAAAAGTTCCTCAACATACTTTGCTGTTTCTGTCGTGCTTTGTCACAGATGGCCGGTCTCAGCTGAAGTTTGGACCCGTCTGGGAGAGAGCAGTTTCGTGAGCACACCACCACACCAAGACATGACTTCTTCAGGATCTGACAGTTATGATTGTTAGTGTTCCTCATGGCCCATCCGCTCAGGTGTCTTTGTGCGTTCTTGTCTTCACTGCTGTAAATATAACGTACATATCCATCTGTCCACTCCTGGAACGCATCATACTGCTTCATGTCCTGGAAAAATAACAATTCAGATGTTTATTTTGCGAGATGACATCTAATATCATTCAAAAATTTGGACCGATATACAAAAAACTATAAAAATGCTTTTTATGAAGCCTATAGGCTACTTTACTGTGTGCAAATTAAACACTGAAACAAGAATGAAAAGTAGGCTATTCTAAAACGAATGGAAATATTCTGTTCCGTTTTGCCTACAAATGCATAAAAATAATAAATCTTTACCTGTGGTAGCTTGGGGTCGTTTATATCCCAAGTCAGCTTCATGCCGAATGAACAAACGCAATCTGAGCAGTCAAACTGATCTGAGGTTTTGGACATGATGTGAGTCAACTCTGGATCATGGCAACCATACGAATTAAAAATCAGTTTGAAGACAAAATTCTCCTCGGAGTCTAGATCAGTTTACAAAATAGATCATACATCTCTAAGTCAGGTCCTTTAGATCTTTACTTCCAGAAAGCTCTTTATTTTCTTTTGTAAAATCCACGTTTGTGTGAGTCCGTCCAGGTGCGCTTCACACAGGTAATAGTCTCAGGTAAACGCTGCTGTGTCTATGTAACGAAGGAGGCTGGGCTCACACACACACACACACACACACACACACACACTACTTCAAACACGGCGTTCTTTCACTTTAAATTATGCTTGCGTTTCACCTCCACTAACGGCGAGTCCTTTCGCAAAAAAAACAACGAAAGCTCGATATTTGACTACAGGGTGGAAATGGCACAGTTTGTGTTAAATTAATTTTCCTTACACATTCCAGATTTTATCTTTGCGTTTACAGTTTTAAGGGGAAAATGACAGCCTCTTTTACAAATGAACCGCAGTCCCAAAGATATAAGGAAGAAACTCTGCCAGTCAGATGACCACGTCGGGCTCTTGTAAGCTAGCATACAGCATACATTAATTGCCATTATAGAGTACGGTGGTTACACACGCATTTACACTTCAAATGAGCGACGCTCGCAACCAATTGCAAGCAAGGCTGCGCTCTAGTGGACAACAGATTTCTCTACAACACAAACAGACCGAGTTTCTAATCGGAAAAGGTCGAATTTCGTTGCAAACACTTGAGTTGTCATTTCTTACAGGGAGGACTTGGCAAAAGCGTTGACAGACATTGGTGGTAAGCCATCAATTTTTGTAAAAAATAATTTAGTGTTTTTCCTCTTTGATACAGTGTTCATATTGTAGGCTAATATATTATGCTGTCACCAGATTATGAAATGCAGGTGGCCATCTCTGAAGCACTCTGCAGGATGACGCCAAGGAAACTAAGAGAAGACTTTGCTGGCAAATGGTTCCGTTTCAGGAGCTTTGCTTCAGCTTTTACTTCAATTCGTGACAAAGATTTTGAAACTGTATGTTCAGGCATTTATTTTTCACTGCTCGAAGCACTAGAATGTTTTGGTTTTAAACTGTATATTGCAAGTATTGGAGCTTTTTTTTTTTTTTTTGGAAGGACTGTAGGACATTTCTGAATGAACTCAATAGTTATTTTGGCAACTCAAGAAGGTATATTTGAGTTTATTTATTATAATGCAGGCTTTATGCAGTCATCATTGTCTGTAAAGTTTTGACATGCTTGCATGATCTTATCCCTCTGTCCTAGAGTCTTCTCATTCCCTTGTATTCAGGCATTTCTTGATTCAGCTGAGGTGAGCATGAAACCTTTCTCTACAAGATTTTTTTTTTTCTTCCTTTTCTAATAAGCAGTGCTTTAAGTGGGCCGGTAGGCTACTCTAAAGCATCAGTGTCTGGGTGATTAGAAATGACACTATGAAGCACACTACCCAGGAGGAGGTCATTTGAAACTGGTAAACTTTTTGGAAAGTTCAAGGATCCAGTAAGGGAGTGCATTAGTAATAAGTTCAAAACAGCACTAATGCAGAGAAAACACGGACGATTTCCTCAGAAATGGCGGAGAGAATGGTGACTCTCATCCAGATGGCAGTAAATTATTATTTTCAGTGTATTTGGCTTAAAAGCACGAGTGTTTTATAATGAATGCCGGCACTACTTCAAACACGGCGTTCTTTCACTTTAAATTATGCTTGCGTTTCACCTCCACTAACGGCGAGTCCTTTCGCAAAAAAAACAACGAAAGCTCGATATTTGACTACAGGGTGGAAATGGCACAGTTTGTGTTAAATTAATTTTCCTTACACATTCCAGATTTTATCTTTGCGTTTACAGTTTTAAGGGGAAAATGACAGCCTCTTTTACAAATGAACCCGACGGTGTGGTATTTCACGAGTAGTCAGCGAAATTTACGCGAGCGACTTTCACTGGGACTGAGACGAGGCTGATGGTCACAGAACAGGACTGGTCCAGTTGGTGAGGTAATGTGATCTACTGCAGGTCATTAGTTGTTGTGTGTAAACGAAAAGCCGCACTGCTGACACAACACGCACCGGTCGTTAACACAACAAACACAACGCAGCTCATAAAAACGCACCTTTTCTATGTATCTATTGGCGATCACTGATGTCACTGATTGAAAATTACAGATATAAGTGATTTTCAGGTGATGCATCCACCCTGGACACGAACTTTAAACGAATGGCGTTGCTTTTTCAGTTTGTAACATAAGGGTTCTAATAATAATAATAATTATTTTTATTATTATTATAAAATACTAAATTGCAAGACTCTTGTAATTAGGTAATCTATTATCTATCAACTGGAGTCACTCTTATAAGAACATCAATAAAATAACATCTTGAAAAGCACGCGAGTCTCCTCCTAAAATACATACCGAGTCTGACGTCTGAAAAATGACAGGCTATACAAGAATACAAGATACATAAAATGATACGCATACTGTAAGCTACATTAGTGTTTTTGTTTTTGTTGTTTTTATCTTTTGGGCTGCACGGTCCAAATACGAGTGTTTTATAATGAATGCCGGCTGAAGGTGTTTTAGATTATGTGCTGGTCAGTGGTTTAGTTATTCTGAATGGATCCGTATGGTATCATGTACAGTCAGGTTAAGGCAGCAGGTTTAGTGGTTTTTTGGCGTCTCCCTGTGGTCCTGTTTGGTATTGCAGCTTAACAGGTGCTTATTTATATTAAAAATGCTCTAAATAGTATTTTTTTTTTCTTTCGACATTATATAAATACATTTTTTGATATTGATGTATTTATTTTGGGGTGGGGGGAGGGACTACTTTTTTTCCACTTCAAGCACTGCTAATAAGTTACCTAGATTATACACTGCACACCAACCAGTGTTTGAATGATCCTTTTTAGTTGTTCAAGCCTGAAGATGAGTTTCTAAAGGAGTTTTGGGTGGATTTCAACATTGGAACATCAACCATTAGTTTCTTTGTAAATGATCCAAAGGTGTGTCCAAAATATGTTTTAGTGCACATATAAAGTTTATTTTATTTTTTTTTATTTTTTTTAAATCGGTAGTGTAACTAAACTGAGCTTATATTTGTGGTAGAACACACTGTGGGAGTTGATTCACCTGCCTAAAGATGTTGTCAGCGTGTATGATCTTCAAGGTGGGATTAATCGTAAAAGGCACTGACCACTAGCTTTTCTTCAGTTCATAATAAAATGTTTCTAACAAGGCTTTCCTTGTTAGTATTAAAACTAAACACAACCCTGAAGTAGACAATCTTTTTTGGAATTGCTTTTAAATCCCACAGATCATTAATGTTATTTCTTCAAATGTCTATTTCTTATTGCTTTAGAGTGTGATGATCAGAAGATATTGGAAGTTCACATGAGTACCCCACTCTCTCATGGAGAGATCACTGGCAAAATTGTCAAAATCATCTTTAGTGCAGAGCACAACATCCAAACAGCCCTGACAAGAGTGTTTCCAGATAAACCACGGTCTTCCTCGGTCTCAAAGGTGTTGGCATGTGCTGTTTTTAAAGAGTCATGGTCAAATATGTGTATATATACCTCACATACATACCAGTGGCTATAAAATACATGTCCTTTTTTATTACTAGGAAGCTCTGCAATTAGGGGATTCCTCTACCAAGATAGAAGGCATGCACCTTACCCGCTCTACAGATGTTTTGTTAAAGTTAATTGGCAGTACAGTACATTGTTCCAGATTTATCAGTGTGAAATGTCATCTTCTACAGGAACCCAGCATGAACAAACATCAGTGCCGCAGACATTTGCCAGGCATGTTTGCCTAACTCTGTAAAATTTCTGTAAATCTCAGTGTTTACATTGAGAGAGCAGAAGGCATCTTGATTTCTGCATTTGATTTGATAATTCTCTCATGGAATTATTATTTTTTTTTTCCCATAGTCCATCTGCTGCAGAAACCAAAGTCATCCATCGGGTAACTAGATAATCCAGATAGCAAATTAAAAAGGTTGTATGAGCACCCATTTTCCAGCCATTTCCCTTCCAGCATTCCCCTTTGAGTGGACCAAGCAGATATTCAAGATCAAAGTCAAAGTAAGACTATTTATTGCTGTACATGTACTCTCTGATGGAAAACACAGTGGTTTTATGATTTTCTTTCTTTGGTGAGTGAAGAGTCAAAGGAACCCCAGGCCAAGACATCTTTCAATTTAAGGATCATTCAGATTCTGAGGTATGCTTTTGTGTGTGCGTGTAAGAATGTACTTGGTTTTCCTAAATTATGGGAATCAAATGTCCCCACAAGGATAGTAATAACAGTCATTCTTGACCTTGTTGGGGACATTTGTTTTGGTCTTCATCAGAAAACAAGCTTATAAATAATTATAAGGAGGATCTGAAGGACCCACCCCTCGACCCCTGGAATACGATTTTAAACGCGGAAAGCAATCTAAACCGAACGCGGTTTCAACCGAGGGACTCCCCCTCGGGTCTGATTTGTCACTCCAGATTCAATTTGACCCCCCCCCAACCCCCCAAAACGTGTCCATTTTAACCGTTCGATGCGGACCATCACCGGTGTATTTAGAACAATCACTGCTAAATTCAACCACACTTTGTTTTAGGTTTCAGACGTTTAAATTAATTATAGCAAAAAAATGCATTTGTTAAATACACACTGATGTTTGTTAAATACACTGGTGTCTAAGGAAAGCGGCAATAATCCTTTCAATTAAAATCTGACAATGTTTTTCATTCATATTGGTACAGGTTGTGTAGTTAACTATAAAGTTCATGCTATTCTTCTTAGTTTAACGGTGACTGACTTTTACGTAATTCTGGAAAAATGTGTGAATTTACGTGATGGTAAACCAGGGTGTCAAACTCAATTCTTGGAGGGCCGCAGCCTAAAGAGTTTAGTTCCGACATGTGTATATAGTTTTCAAATAAGCCTGATGGATTTGATTAGCTGGATCAGGTGTGTTTAATTAGGGTTGAATCTAAACGCATACTGTAAGCTACATTAGTGTTTTTGTTTTTGTTGTTTTTATCTTTTGGGCTGCACGGTCCAAATGTAGGCTAACCGTGTTTTTTTTTTCTTCTTTTTTTTTAATCCATTGTTGTGGTTGTTCATTAAAATATATTAATAATGCAAGTATAAATGCATAAATGATTTTTAGTTGGAATATACATTTTGTAGACAATAAAGTTAAAATGTTACAAATTGTTCTAATTTTTTCATCAAAAAGAATGTGTTTTTCTTAAGACAATAATAATCATTAATTCATACATATGAAAGCAGTTTATGTTCAGTTGAAAATTGCCATAATATTAACGAGACATCACACTCATCACTCAAGTGCCAGTACCCTACGCTTTCCTGATTGTAATGTTTTTTTTTTGTTTTTTTTACATTTTATAAAACAATTGCAGCCTATCTTTTGTTCATTATTTTCTTTGTATTATTGCCTTGTTCCTTTGGATTTGCGTTACTATTTTGTCATTCTAGGGAGAACAGAGCAACAGTGCACTTACTGTATCACTTATCATTGCTGTTTCGTTCACTAAATTACTATTTTGTCCTCACTGGCAGAATATATATATATATATATACGCAAAGGAGCAGTACAGTTGACAAATGTAAAACTTCGTAGATGTAATTTGCGCGTGCGCACACAAATGCAGACAAAATATTATTTTAGGCTCACTTTAATTTTTTTTCACTTTACCACCATTAACTTCTGATGTCATGAAGGTGTCTGGAATTGTGGTGTGCAATGTTCCTGTATGTTTTTCAATAAACCCAACATAGAAAGTGTATATATCTACCTAAAATTTACCTTTATAGAATCGTCTGAAGCATTTCGGGAATAGACTGTAATTTGACAGCACATCATATTAGTTAATATGGATACCTTTATACCCCGGGGGAAAAAAAGACAGTTTGCAGTTAATTATTTTTGTAGCCACATGTAACCATGAAAGCAAACGTTGCATGCATGCAAGAATGAATGGATAAATCAATCAATACATACATACATACATTTATGTGTTTTATATGTATTTTTATATGTAGAGAAATAGTACATCAGTACTTATTTTTCTTTGTGCAATTTACATTTTAGTTAGGCTAATCAAAATGTGATCTTAATTTGATGTTCTGGTATTGTATCTCGATGCCAAGTGCGTTTTTATACATCTACAAGTCCATACATGGCGCAAATTACGGGAATGTCTTTTGGTGCAGGCTTGGATCATGAATATTATTAATTATGTTACCATACAGTTGGCCAATGATTTGCTGAGAAGTGGTGGTCAGCACACTTCACTGATCCTACTACGCTACGACTCGTGAATATAAACTCTAATCATACCACTGTATCTCTATAACCTGTTTCACAAAAGCGTAAGCCTTGTGTTGATCTTATCCATTCGAATCTTGCGAATTGTCTTACAGTTATACACTATTCCATATTCACTACCACTTCCATCCACTTCCATATTCACTAAATATGGAAGGCTTGACCCACGATTCTTTAAATTTATGAAAACGAAAGAATTTATAATGTGAATCCCTGGGATTCAACCTGATAGCCTTTTCAGTATATTAGCATGTAACACTAGAAGATAATTATTAAATTGTATATAAACAAATAAATGGTAATCTTGTAAGTGATACAAGTGGAGAAATGAGGTTGTGGAAAAGTTGTCTGTGAAGCACCCCTCGCGTCTGTGTCAAAAGTAGCCTTAATTCGAAGTTCAATCTTATACTCGATACTCTTATACTCGAAGTTGCAATAAATAAATGAAATAATTAATTAATTAAAAAAACGTATATGTGTAAATGTAGGCTACATGGGTTTCTGTATACAGGTTGGTACAAAATATTTAAATATCTAACGCTAAACACTTTGATAACAAATAAATTACAAGTTGGTATATTTAATATTTGCGTAAACTCTATGCAAAAACTAAGAGTTAACACTTTCTGAGTCTTGTTTTTACCCATCTTTTGCCCGAGACTACAATGTGACAAGAATGTCGACGGTAAACTCTTTTCAGTCCGCTGTATCATTTCCCCCCTTTGTACTTCGTTTTAACAATATTAAACAAAAGACAAAGTCATTTAATTTACGATATATCCCATGAATAATTCACTGGATTGAATTAAGAATCTCTCGTTTTTCTCTACAAATCCTCACGTCTCTTTCCAGGTTTGTTTTCACTTTAAAACGTAATTGTCTCCTCTTTTCACTTCTAATCCCTATTAGCAGTGTTTACAGAATGTTTCCATGTCAGGTAAATACAGTATTTGTTATCTGTCAAAATGACGGAAATCACTTTTATCTATTATCCCTCAATGCTCAATTAACATTTTTGGGCAACGTATACATAATACAGACATAAACTAGCCTACATTACAGTGATATTTAACACGTCTGTAATTACTGTGGAAATAATCGAGCGTTTGGGGTTATTCGTGGTCTGTTTGTAGTAATTTGCTTTAACACTTTCAAATTTTCTTTTTATATTCGATGGTCGAAAGGTAAATGGAGTATACTAATTTCACCTCATTGTACCACGTTTTTGAAAATGCTTCATAGAGCAAACCTTTCCCTGATTGTAAAGTTTACCGGAAGTCACTTCCCTATTTCGCGCAAAGGGTCATGGGCGTTAAATAAAAAGCGTATATGTAGCCTAATTAAAAGCCATGTGTGTTTAATTAGACAGTCTGCAGTCTGAGGAGGAGATCGCCTGTCTGTGCATCATGAGTGTGAGTTCTTCTCTGGAGGTTTACTTTATCACTGTGGGTTTATATTAAACATATATAGGGTTGTACGGTCTACTTAATCACTTTGATTGATTGATTGTGTATTAGGCTTAGGGTACTTGCGGTAATTTTAAAGTTGAATCACAATGGACCCATACTGAGTTGTTTGTTGTTTTTAGTATTCCAGACATTCATCCAGTGCTTTTCTAATTATACAGTTTACAAGTAGACTTCATGATGCCTTTGTCCAAAATAACCTTGGCATGGTTATTATGATTCTTATCGAAGAAAAATCTTCCGTATCCTTGGCCGATCGACTGGACGAAGTTGTTATTAAGGCAGGTTATGATGCTTTTTCTGGATTTCCATGCAATATCAAAGGTTTATTGTTCCTTTTGTATGATTATGATGTATATAGTTTTCAAATAAGCCTGATGGATTTGATTAGCTGGATCAGGTGTGTTTAATTAGGGTTGAATCTAAACTCTGCAGGGCTCTGGCCCGCATCTCTGACAATGCGAAAGCTCCAAATGGAGTTTCTTTTCACATCTTCTTGCACTTCAACGGACAAATACAAAAGTATATTAGACCCATGAATTGTGTTTAAAGTGTCCGTGACCAATCTAAAACATGCTGTTGGTATCCTTAATATTTATTTAATTTATTTAGTTAGTGAAGAATATGCTTTGTTGTTTTACATTTGATTATGCAATTTCTGTACTTGAACCAGTGGCAGCTCGTGGGTTTTAAAATGGAGGAGGCACACTAATTGTATTGGTCTGGGGATCCCTGCCTATTATTATTATGTGTATGAATCATTCGTAAAATGCATAGGCTTTTTTTTTGCCTTTAATGGATCTTGATTGCATGCTTGAGTGAGTATTCCAGGATTCTTAATAAGTACAATGTTACTTTACTAGTGAAAGAAAACGACACGCATACAGCAAGATAATATAATGTCACTTACCTGGCTTATATCACTTGAAGCAAACATCCATCCCTTCTTAAAAGTCTGTTAAAAGAGCCGACTGCTGTAACGTTAGCCTATATCCAGCTTAGGCGTGTTCTCCCTTTATTTTTAATTTGTGTGTGTATATATATATATATATATTTTATTTATATATATATATATGAATGACAGCTTGGTAAATCTGTTGGCATCAAATATTCAATATCGCTACTCATAAGTACTTGGTACATTATCAGCGCAGCGGGAGACGTTCAAACTAATATCACATAATTTACGTCTCTATAATGATTGGTTGATATACCAGAAGGGCGGCTAGCCTCCACTACGAGGTTTCTTTTCTCAACACTCCTCAGCACTGAAAGCGAACACTCGATGGTGATTTGGCAAAAAAAAATGTTTACCAACGGAGGCATGACAGTTCAGCTCTCCCCCGGCCTCCCCCCCTCCCCATCACCTAGCGGTTGTAATTACATCAGCAGATTCGGCACATTCG